ACTCTTCCTCTTAAGAATAATCTGCATAACAGTTCCAAAGCCAGTGAGCGCTCCATAAAGTCCTGCCATTCCATAGCAGAAGAAATATCCTCTAATAGTCCCAAATGGGAACAGAGAGGCCGGGGTCCTCATGGCTGCCCAATATCCCCAGTGATTACTATTGCATCCAATTAATAATGTTACATTTGACAGTTTATTATATCAATAACATTAAGTAATTTATATACAATTAGTAAAACCTTAAATATTCTAGTTACTACCTTAACAAGTTATTTTAAAGTGAATTCTTCGTATGTAATAATGACATGAAAATAAACGAAAATACCCTAAATTTAACTTAATATACGATTAAAATGTTACTAATGTACTAAATTATATGATTTTCAGAAATATTGATAAACCAAAGTGCAATTCAAACTAAATAGCCTTGAAAATGTACTGTACTAATAATGATTATAATAACCCTTCGACAATGCATTATAATTATAACTTATATATTCATAAATAATTATTTTATAAATATTTTCTTTAAAACAATAATAAATAATAATAATTTAAAATAAGTCAAATTAAACAGCAACTAATTGAATATTTAAAAATGAACTTTTAAAAATAAACAATGTTCATTCAGTTACGTATAGTGTAATAGGGTTATTTTTAACATATATTTTTATGCAATTTAATTAATAATATTATCAGTAAATATAGTAATCAAATGAAATTTAATTAGAATTACCTTTATCACAGAAATTGTTGTACTGAATATAATTAAATATATTTAATTCATCAAGAATTGTTTATGAAACATAACATGCACTTATAATAACTGTGCATTTAAAATGTACTGATGGTATATAAGAATGTGTTATCTACTTAAGTTTATGCTTATAGAAAGGAGACAAAATTACCATTAAAATGACCTTATATTTGTTCCCTTTATTAACAATCATATAAAATAAACATTTGTCTCAAACCATTTGCACTAATGAAGACTAATGGATAATCCAGTTACTGGATTCCTGTATATTACAGTAATAGTACACAAATTGTTTTTATGAAATATTCTGCTTTTAAGTCTAATAACTATAAGATACATGTTTTAAATTTTTATATTTTAATTAATAAGTAATAAAAATCATAGGGAAATTTCAAAAATATGTTTAATTTTGTTAATTGCAAAGCGTGTTGATATTATACCCGGAATATTCAATTCACTTATTAGTTTTATACAGTATTTATAAAAATTCATTAAAATAATAAAAAAGGAAATATATTACCGTTTTTACTTTTAATATACACTACTTACAAGTTATAAATAATATTATTATATCAAACTTAATTTTTAACATAAAAATATTTAGAATATTCTTTTAATCAAATTTTTTATTTACAAATATTAATTTACAGTGAGACCTAATCAAAGTATTATTCAAGTATAAAAGATTTATTTAAAATAACAAATATTCGTAATTAAGATGTTAAAAACAAATAAAGATTATTTATTAGTACAATATGTTATTTATTAGATGTACAGTATATTCTTATATTACAACTTATAATTTATAAGACACGGAAGTTATTTATAAAAATAAACAAACTAGAATCGGATATCACTGTATAAATGGGCAGAATTTAAGTACAATGAAAGTGTTTACTTATTAATAGGTCAATTATAAACAGCATCAAACAAGTAACTAAATTTTTTATATAAGAATTGTATAATTAATAGCTTACTTTATATAAACCACATAATTAATACAATTTAATAAGAAATAGTTAGGAAATGAGATAACAAAATAGTTGAATAAGAAAATTGCATAATTAGAGGATACTATAGTAAGAATTGAAATTCTGGACATTACTTGTTTTGTGAACTCGTTTGAGTAAACATTACAGTAATTAAAATCGTTATAAAAGGTTAATAAAACATGAATTTTATTGTTATGTTTTTGTTAATCTTAATATCGATTACAACACATATAAGCGATGCTTCAAAACCTATTAACTTTGTAAACGGGGGCTACAGAGGGGTCGTGATTGCCATCCACTCGGATGTTAAAGAAAGCGATCAATTGATCACAAACTTAGAAGAATTGCTGAGAAAATCGTCGGCTTTTCTCTATAAAGCCACTGAAGGCAGGGCTCGGTTTGTGGAGTTTGAGGTTATTCTTCCTGAGACATGGAGTAAGAAGGATGGCTACGAATCCATTGCCGGCTCACACTTTCTTAGCTCTCACATCAGAATCGCACCGACAGATAAAGTTAAGAGTGACGAGCCATACACTTATCAACCGAGAGGTTGTGGACAACCCGGAGAATACATTCAATTAACTGATGGCTTCGTTAATCAACTAAACGGAAAAACTCGAGATGACTTTGAATATCCAGGTGCTTTATATTTTTAAATAAATTTCTTTAAAAAGGTTAAAGAATTGTATTATATTTAAGAAAAGCATTTGATTCACGAATGGGCGCACTATAGGTATGGTGTGTTTGATGAGTACGGCATTGAAGGCGACTCGAAATACCCGTCATTTTATTTGGAAAACGGAACCGTTTGTGATAATCATTCAATTTGTTGCACAATTATTTTAAGTTTACACATTACTTATAGATATATCCGACAACTTGTATAAAAGGAATTAAAGGTAGACAGGAGGACATGGATGGCAATCCGTGTAAGATTTATAGTGGGGGTCAAGTGGACTCCAACTGTCGATTTATTCCCGACAAATCGGACAATAGTGCCGTCGCATCCATTATGTTTATGCCTCACATCCAATCTGTGAGTACCGTATAATTTATACAGTATATAAATATTTCAATTATATTCATAAATTAAAATATTTTCAATTAATTGAAGATTGAAAAGTTTTGTCTAAACAACACAAATGACACAAAACTTTTACATAATAATTATGCGCCCAATAAGCACAACATTCAATGCAATTATAGGAGTACTGCAGAAGTGATCGAAGAGCACCGCGACTTTAAAAATCAGTAAATAATTTATAATTGATTATAACTTTAATAATAAAAACTTTAAACTTAGAAATCCCGATACATTGAGTGACGGATATTCAGAGCCAGTCATAAGACTGATACGAATCGATGAGGACCAGAGCTCTCGGTTTGTACTCGTATTGGATGTGTCGGGAAGTATGCGGGACTTCGGGAGGTCTGCACTCTTGCACAGAGCGGCCACACGTTTTGTCAATCACCTCATCCCCGATGGCATGGAATTAGGAATCATTCAGTTCTCGACAAATGCAACCGTTTTGCACCCAATGATCACAATCAATGAAACTACTCGTCAGAGTTTGGCAGCAACTATACCGAAGATACCTGACGGTTGGACAGCAATTGGCAAAGGATTACAACTGGCGCTCGAAATGCTGTCTGAGGACGAGGGCGGCACTCGTGGGGCGACTATTATATTAATTACAGACGGCGAAGAGAATCAGAAAGAGCCCACAATTGAGGAGATCATACCTGAAGTTTATAAGGCGGACATCAAAGTGGACTCAATTGCCATCTCGACTGAAGCGGATGCGAGACTCGAGAATATATCGTCAAATAGTGGAGGAAAATGCTTTTATATGAGAGATAACGACAACGCGACCAATACTGCGATGGAAACCGCTTTTATGGGATTTGTCTCACAACAGGTGAACACAACTGTCAAATTGAATTATAAAATACATAATTTACAAAATATCTATAAAATCTCTTAGAGAAACATTGAAGTTCAATCGGTAACCATAATGAACAGAGAGTTGATAATAATTGATGGCAGATCTGCAACCAAAAAGGTGATCATAGATCCAGAATTAGGAATGAACACCAAATTTACTATATATAGTTATGATATTGAAAACATTACGGTCAAATTTAAGTCACCCCATGGGCAAATGTTTGATAAAAGTTATCGCAATTTTAAAATAGAAACTGGATTTAAGTACATTGAATTAATATTATTGGGGGCATCAGAAGTAGGTGTTTGGGAAGTGATTATAGACAAAAACTACTCTTATAATAGGGATATAGTCGTAGCGTTAACAGTGACGAGTGATCCCAAGAATCCTAATAATCAACCGATTCGTGTGAATTCATATTTCGGTGAATTAGAGGTCAGATATCCGGCAACTGCTCTCATTTATGCTGAAGTAATGAAAGGGCCAAATGGTATCATTGGAGCTAAAGTTTTGGCTATTGTTGAGAGGCCTGATGCTGAAGATGTTGAGGTATTTTTACAAAATTATTGACTGCTTGACTAAACTTCTGTAATCAAATACAATTAAAAGGTTGATCTCTATGATGACGGTATTGGAGCTGATATAACGGCTAATGATGGCATCTATACGACAGCCTTTACACAATTCACCCAAAATGGGAGGTATTCGGTGTCCGCAAAGATTACAACAGTTCCAACAAAAACAAGAATAAGAAAAACTCGAAATCATTTCGCATATTCTCGTTCATCAATGGCTATTAAAAGTCTTAGAAATCTATCGATTTCACCCAAGAGTGAGTTCCAAATAACAGATTTCATCGCAACTTATGGTATGCCTGAAGATGATATTAAATCAGAGCCAATACACGAGTTCACACGAGCGACAGAAACCGGTGCTTTTAAACTGAAATACTTTGTGCCGCATATCGATAACATGCCGCCGGGAAAAGTCACTGATTTGCAGGTTATTACCATCGATGGAAATAAACATATCGTTGAGCTTCAGTGGACAGCGCCGGGAGATGACGCGTTCACAGGTCTCTACACATTTCTGTGTTTTAAATTTTACTTTTAATTTCTTAATCAATGATTTAAAGGGAAGGCGCGGAAAATCGATTTACGAGTTTCTCTGACACCCAAAACATTTCACAAACGAGAACTGTTTGAAGCGAATAAAGTCATTGATGAGAGTGTGTTAGTGGCCGGAAGTCTTGAACCCCGGGAAGGACACACCATAATGAGAGCCAAATTTCAAATCCCGAAAATACTGTTGAGATCAGTACGAAGGGGTCGTCAAGTGAATGAATCCCTGAAAATGAGTTTTTACTTCAGTTTGCGTGCCATCGATGATTCCAATAATATAGGAGAAAGTAAATTTAAAATAAACATAAAACCAATTATAATTTCAAATTATATTAATTTTAAATTTAATATAAAACTATATTTAATATAGTCTCTAACATTGCATCCGTTCATTTTGGTTACGTTAAGCCAGTTCTTGAAAGTATAGTCATTGGAACCGATTCGAGACCTTTTGAGACAACTGTCATTCAGACACATGTATTGATCCCAAATCCAGTGCTCTTTTATCACAACAGGATTCTGATGGTTACGTTAAGCCAGTTCTTGAAAGTATAGTCATTGGAACCGATTCGAGACCTTTTGAGACAACTGTCATTCAGACACATGTATTGATCCCAAATCCAGTGCTCTTTTATCACAACAGGATTCTGATGCAAAAACTCAAGAATCAAACATTCATTGAAATTCCAAAAGAGTTGGGAAGAAATACCACATTTACTATAACTAGTGATGACATACGGCTGTTGAATATCACTGTCACATCACCCAACGGAACAGTTTATAGTATGACCAGTGATATCGTAGTTTACAAACCGACAGAAATGAAGGCTCAGTTCAATATACGATTGGCCACTGAAGGTATGATATAGTGTCCGAAATAAATGGAAAATATTTTAACAATTAATTTATGAATTGAAAGGCAAATGGAAAGTGAGTTTTGAGAAGAGACAACACGAGACGGTAATCGCATACTTGTCGGTCACCAGTGAGTCCAGAGTAGATGAGCCCATTAAAGTGAGGGCTTGGATGGACACACCATTTGCGGGGACCGGCAAACCACCCACAGCTGTCATTAACGCAGAAGTGACCAAAAGATATAATTATATAATTTGTGCCGATGTTATAGCTATGGTGGACAGACCCAAAGGACAGCCAATTTTTATTCAATTATACGATAATGGTTTGGGTGCTGTGCTGTCATTAACGCAGAAGTGACCAAAAGATATAATTATATAATTTGTGCCGATGTTATAGCTATGGTGGACAGACCCAAAGGTGTCGGTTAAAAATAAGTTAATATGCTATTACCAAACCCACGACTGTTTCACCGTTTGCTACCTGAGATAAGTCGTCAAAAGAGATTTAAGTTAAGATTGCCATCTATACCTCACTTGCGGTCTCAAGTCAACAATAATAGGGCTCTCATTAAACTCGGCGTTGAAGACCAAAAACTTAAATGCTTTTAAATGTTTTCATGTTTTAACTGTAATTTAAAAATTAAAAATTATTTTCCTTATTTTTTTTAATTGCAAGAATATTCTGTATAGAGTTAATTTTAAGTAAAGTTTATACAGTTTAGACAATTTGTATATGAATAGAATTTATGTTTATTTTGTGTATTAACAGTAGTACATATTTTAAAGAAATCTTTATATATTTTCTCATTAAATGTATTTAAAAATTAAAGATTATTACTATATTTTATGTGTAAAGTTATTAAGTGTTTACAAGAAATACCCAATATGAGTAGGTAATCATTGGATAAAAGTATAACAACGTGTATCTAGTTCACCAGTTAACTAGTTTTGAACCGTTATATAAACATTAGGTATTTTTACTGGAAAATATAAATTTAGATTCCAAAAGTTGTAAAACATGTCATACATTGAAATCACTATAAAATGAGTAAACTTTGACCCAATTTCAGCATTCATTTGAACCAAACACTTGATATTAATGATGACTTCTTTGCTTATCTTATTTGCATTCATTCTAATATTGTTTGTCTCAACACTTTTCATACCATTTGTTGTGAATTTATATCAAATAATTAGTATTTCAATACTTATAACTTATATGAGTTGGAAATTAGCCGATAAATTGAGTCCATATTTGTGTCCAAATGAAAGTCTTGAAGCGAGTGGTCATTCAGTTTTGATAACTGGTTGTGACTCTGGTTTCGGTTACGCCACTGCTATCCAATTGAATGACAAGGGATGGCATGTGTTGGCCACTGTTCTCGACTATAATAGCGATGGAGCTCTTAGTCTGCAATCAAATGGCATAACAACTATTCAATTGAATGTTTTGAGTGAAACTGATATTTCGAAAGCATATGAATCAGTGGTCAAAGAGTGTGAATCCAGACATTCAAAGTTGTGGTCAGTTGTGAACAACGCCGGTGTCTATGGTTGTGGTGAACTCGAGTGGGGAGTTATGCAACACCTGGAAACTATTATTCAAGTCAATGTTTTAGGATATATTCGTGTCTTAAGACAATTTTTACCACTTATTAGGAGATCCAGAGGTAACAAACAAACAATTATAAATAAAAACTTATGTATTTGTAAATCATATTATATGAAAATAAAATTAACATGGTCCAGCATATTAATTGCACAGTTCACAACGGAGTGACAAGAGTCGCGGCCCTTGATGACATATGAGCAACAGGTTTCGCCGGCAGAGAAGTAAAACCGATGGATTGCGTCGGGAATTGTATAACACAGGAGTGGATGTCATCGAAATCATACCCCAGGCCTACAAGTGATTAGTTTTTTCAAATAGCTTTCAAAAATACAATTAATATACTGTTTCTAAACTTAAAGGAATACAATGACTGATAGAATTGTAAGAGATTTGGATAAACACTGGAATCAAACTAAACCTGAAGTGAAGTCAGACTTCGGTGAAAATTATTACCAAAGATTTCGTTCATATATTGAAAGGAATATAAATTCAAGTCGTGATAAGCCTTACGAAGTGGTGGACGCTATCATAAAATCGGTTACTTTGAAATCAATTCGCTATAAATATTTGTGTTGCGGACCAATTGATTCACTCATTCTGTGGTCTTTCCATTGGATGCCAAATGAATGGCTCGAACCCATTGTTTCTCTCTTTACGGTCAGAGAAACGCCGTTTTGGACCAAAACATATCAACAAAGAGACCAAAGATAATGAATCATAAATACATTCATTCATTAGAATTAGTAATTATAGTTTATTCATATTTTTTATTGTAAACTTAATAAGTTATAAGTTTAAACTTTAAAGTGCATAGTTATTTAACATTTTGGTTATTATTTAAAGTACAGCAGTTTTATAACAAATTCTTAACTCTAGTTCTGCTAAAATACATATCAAATTGAAAATAATGTATAAAATGTGATTACAATATAATTAAAAACAATTAATCTCATAAAATACTAAATAAAATACAATTAATAATAAAAATACAATAAAATTCAAAATTTGTAAGGAAAACGCCTGTTTAGTAACCAAAGATACTAACTTTTGTATTAGGAAATTTAGTAACTCTTCAAATACCTAAGCAACCCAGACAGCTGCTCGGGTGGCGAATAGGGACGCAGACAGGTCAGCACCCAATCGTTCCCAGAGATATCCCTTTCCCATCAAATACTGCTCCAAATTGTGCTCCAATTCCCGTGAATTTCTCATCGCTTGGTTAAGGGTCGGCCTATCATAGCATCGGAGTTCCCTATGTCTGGGAACTGTCTCTCCAGTGGACACCATCTCATATTTGTACAGATAACAGCCCTTGAGGGTATGCAAATGGTAAGACACCGTTAAATGGTAAGGGAGGTCAACTAACCGCTATTTGGCTAGGGAACCTGAATATCCGTTTGCGAACCGTATACAAACTGGCACAGGTATCTGTTGGAGTGATGTGGCGATTGGTTGTGAGGGCCTGTCAAACTCATCAAATGAAACATCTAGTGCTATCATATCCAGTTCCTCGAGTTGGACATTAAGTAAAGACATATCAAAGTCCACGGGTAATACCCAGGGATAAGGTATGGGATCGATAGCAACCAGACATTCCTCTTCCAAGAGTTGGTTTATGTAATCGTCAATTAGGCTCAGGTCGGCCCCTGCCTCTCCATTTGATACAACTGGAGGTAAGTTATCTATATCCAGCGCCTGTAGTTCAATCACTAGCTGTTTAACAAACTCTTGATTAATAACTATTGGATTCTGTGTTATCTTTATATCAAAGACCAAACGTTTTGATGGGTCGGGACTCTCAACGCTCGCATCTAATGTTCTCTTTAACCCTATTCTGTGAGCACCTGTAGGTGACTGTCTTTCCGATTCCGATCTCTTGGGAGAGGCCGTAGCTGTCGGTGCAATGGGCTTGGGATCAGTTGAATGTACGGCGTTATGTAATATAAGTGGAACGACACCAATTTGATCGCTTATTTGCTCGTAAATGTCTACCCCTTCCGGTCTAACCGTGTGTTTGTTGTCTAATGGGTCCATCAATGGGCGACTAATGCGTTGGACAATCCCTGGGCTTACTGTCAACGGATCTGTCATTTCTAGTGCTTATTCAGTATTTTTTGAGTAGTCTTTTGATTTGATGATCAGTTAAATTTGATGTCAGTTATGCACAATAACTTGTGGTTTGGTTTTAAGATTTGAGACTCAAATTTTGAGTTTTTGTTTTATAAAGATTTATTCAAATAATTATTTTTCAACAGGTTTTGTAAATCTCGTGATTAATGGATTTAACTGATTTTATATAACCTCTAAATGATTGTAATTGTTTTATTAGTTGCTCGCTATTTGTTATTATTATTTGAATTAAAACAGATTATTGACTATTCATTACATTCAGAAACTGTTAAACTAATTGTCAATTAGTAATTGATCTCTTTTATTATTTCGATATATGCAATGATATCCAACAGACTATGAAACGTATGAAGAATTTCTTCAGTAATCTGTTTTCTTGGAGGAAGAAAACTGAAACAAAACGCAATAATAAAGACAATAATAAGAAAGAGGCGAAGAAAGGCAGAGACAAAGACAAACACAAAGTAAACCCAAAGACAAAGCCATTGGAATCGATACCCACTCTCAAGAATGAGAAGAAGAAGACAGGACTGGAGACCACTCGTCTCACATCACTTAACGGCCCTCCAATGGGACAAAACATATACGATGTCTGCGCGTATGTCATGGTTTGTGACAAACATAACAAAATCGTTTTGTCTCGTGAGGAAGACACGGGTTTTGTTTGGTTTCCATTCGTTTCACTGCCCAATAGTAGGACATGGAGTGAGGGCTGTTTGGACGGCGCCTATATTCTTCTTTCCAACGGTGATCCGAACGCTTATCTTCAACTAAAAACAAATAAAGTCATCAATGAATCCTATTGTATGCAAGTCTTTAGACTACAGTTACCGCAGACACAGAAATTCAATATAAGAGTCATGTATTTCGTCAAATTGGTTCAAAGTAACGGTAACTTCAAGTGCTGTCAGCAAACAGGACAACTCAATTGGTATCCAATCAGTGATGTACTCGGAGGCAAAGTGTGACTATAAACCCCTGGCCTTCACAACTTTATGTGGTTAATATATGTCTTCGGCTTTCACGTCGCTTAGTCACTTAAGTCAAATCTAGTCCGGAAGAAGATGCACGGGTCTCTAGGCGGCGCTTTAGACGAGGAAGAGCTCCTCAAGTCGGCCAACTATGGCGGCAAAGATGTCGAAAGGATTTACGGCGATTTCATTGAGCATTGCTTTCCGGCCTTTTATATGACAATCACAGCGTTTGTCGATTATATGGCTAAATATGGTTTCGACAAACGAGACAAAAAGTTGCCGCTTCTGTTCAAAGCATTCAATTTCAGTAATTCCGGTTCACTTACCTTCTCTGAGCTACTCATCGGTTTGTCGTCTATAGAGCCGAACGCAGCCAACGGTCAGTCGCGCATCAAATTTGTCTTCAAGTACTTCGACACCAATGGCGACGGCTTTCTGTCGGACAAAGAGTTTGAACAAATGGTTCGCGAAATATATCCCAAAGAAAGCAATTCCCAAATCCAACAGAAAGTGACGGACGGTATGAAACAGATTGGGGTTAAGAAGAATGGCATTTCGTTTGAAGCCTTTTTCAAAGCGTGCGGAAGTCATAAGTTTCGGGGGACGAGCGGTCTGTGCCGATCCAAGACACCACTTATGGCACAAATCTCGCGATCAATTGCCTCGAGATCTTTGGGTCGACCTGTGAAAGAGCCGTCGACTTCGAAGGTGACGTCGCCTCAAGACTCGCAGAAATACAAAGGGGTTTGTAAGTCATGTAGAGAGCGAAAGTACGACTACGCCATCCATACGGTGCGACTCAACTCCGACGGTCGTTGTGTTGACGCCAAACGACTCAAAGGTTGGGATCGACTCGAGAGGTCAAAGTCGAGCCAAAAAAAGAGTGATTCTGTAAGAAGTGATGACTCCATAACTTTAGCCAAATCTAGTGAATCACTCTCGAAGTCGAGCGGCGGTTCCGGCGCTGTGGTCAACATATCTCGAGAAAGTTTTTCCGTAGAATACGTTTGGAATCCAAAATCAGTGGCAAATTATTTCTTAGAACAGATCCGAGCCTTTAATCTAAAGAAAGGCTCGCATAAAGACAATAAGGGATTAATGGACAGCCCATCTGAACACAAGGACTTTGTCGACAAACTTCAAAAACTGTGTAAACAGATCGAGAAAATCTTAGCCCAAGAGGACAGGTGTGTACGTATGAGTTCGCCCGCGTATATCATTGGAGACATTCACGGAAATCTCGAGGATTTGCTTACGATGGAGAAAGTTTTGTGGAAAAGTATGCCTATATTTACCTCCAATCTGCTATTTCTGGGCGATTATGTGGACAGAGGTAATACCCTTTAAAGGACCCTTTAATCCATTGTTTTAATTCTTAATTTAATGCTTAATCAAAAATATATAGGAAAATGGGGGGTGGAGTGTGCCATTTACATCCTCTGCTTGAAACTGTTGGCCCCAAACAAAGTGGTTATGTTAAGAGGCAATCATGAGGTCCGGGACCTACAGATACACTATTCGTATCAAAGGGAATGCATTCGTAAATACGGCGAAGACTTCGGGAAAAAAGTATTTGAAATGACAAACAGAGTGTTTGATAGACTCCCGGTCTGTGCGGTCATCGACGACGCCATCTTCTGCTCTCACGGAGGCATTCCCTGCAGTAGTCGACTCATCTCAAAGATCAATGAAATCAAGACCGACCTCAAAGACCCGGAGCATGAGTCGGCCATCGCGTGGGAGATCCTGTGGTCGGATCCGATTGGCGCCCAACAGTTCATCGAAACGGCGGAATTGCTTCAAATAAAGCCCGAGAGCACCAAAGGCTTCCTCACGAACACCAAACGCGGCACAGCGTTCCTCTTCGCCGAAGACGCGGCCAATAATTTCCTACAAACCAATGGACTGACACACATCGTGAGGGCGCATGAGGTGCCGGCCAACGGATACACCTTTCACTTCGGCAATAAGTGTGTGACAGTGTTCTCCAGTTCCCACTACTGCGGGAACAACAACCTGTCCGCCTGTGTTCACGTCGACAACGAAAAGCTCAGAATCATCCGCTTGGATACTGTTAATAACGCGCCCGCCTGTGACTGACACCCCCTCCCCTTCCCATTCAAATGCCAATTCAAATGTCAATTAATTAATATTCATATCTTTTTGCGTGTCTTTCAAAAGTATTCTTTAATGAATTTTCCAATTAAATGAATTTTATCTATGCTTTTGAGTAATTTATTTATCAATAACTATTTATTCTCTTAAATCTTTACTCCATTTATACTTATAGTTTTTGTTTATTGAAATGCTATTTAAATTCTGTAGAAAATTAAAGAATCAATTGAACACTTAATAATTGGGGGATTCATTTTAGATAATCATTTCTAATACCGGTAGTAATTTGAAAGCAAATTATTATTATTATTATTTTAATTAGACTTCACATGTGTATTGAATTTCAAAACATATTTTCTGCCATTTTCACAATTTAATCAACAGATTAGATATGTTTGTAATGACCAAAGTATTTGCCATTTTACTGATCATTCAGTTGTATGGATTGGTGGCACA